GGATTTAAAGGCGTTTAGAGAGTGAGATAGATACACAAATGCATTGGAGCTCTGTAAGTCTGGTAGATATTTAAAGACATTTCATACAATAGGCTACGTGTCAGAGAATAACCTACTGCGTGTCAGGGTCACGGCTCATGGAGCTCAGGTTTAAGCAGCCAGAGTGCACAACCAAAGAATATCAATATCAGTCATGCCATTTTGAATATCAAGTTGCAATGGGAAGAACTGCAGCATTTCTTCTCCATGACACACTTGGCATTGACTGAACAGCAGTCCTTATCAGACACAAATATTAATAGAACAGACTCTCTTGAAAACAACACATTGCAAAGTAAAAGTGGGGCAGTGAAAAATATATCTAAAAAAGGCCTGTCCTGATGTCCATACCAACAATAAATCACCTTCTTATAGACAGACTTTGGCAACCTGTGCATTATCAAATCATCTATTAAAATCATCTTATCGGTATAAGATTCAAAGGTAGGGTAGGTAAGTTTGAGAAACCGGCTCGAGATACACTTTTTGTTATATTCCATGGAATGCTCTTAACATCCCAATGAATATCTTAAGTGCTTTGACAAAAAATCCATAAAAAAATGTCATCTGTGGAAGCCGTAGTACTGTAAAAAGTACGACCAATCATTTTAGCCGGCCCGGCTAAAATAACTGGATGGCCTACCTGCCTGTCAGCCTTCCATCGGGGCACAAATTTATCTCGTGCCCTCATTGGTCATGTGTGCGCGTTCGTGTGTGTTGGAGGAGGGGCTCTATAAGGAAGTGGCAGATTTTCTCCGGTTGTGTATTTTCAAATTCTAGCGATCTCGAGCCGGTTTCTCAAACTTACCTACCCTACCTGTAAGAATTGAAGGACACAACTCAAAAACAAAATGACCAAGAATAAACTGAAAGATCAACGGGTGCAATATTGTTAAATCAATTATTCTCAATTTACCAGCAGAATAAAGCATCACAGCCAACACAGAGATGTAAAGACAATATAAACTCGACAGCTTCAGCCCACAGACAAAGCAAAACAAGAGCAAAAAACACGAATACACAATGGTTGTTGTCGACGTCCTACTCAGTAAAGTTAGTTGACATTATCAAAAAGTTCGTTGTTGCACTCACCTGTCCTGTCTGAACGTCATTCCGTGAGTTTTTAGCACCGGGAAGTTCTTCACCATCTTCTTCAGTTTTAATTATCCTGCTAGATTATTCCCAAAGTATAAAATAACCAGCTCATGAGTCTCTTCGCTCGCCCTGCACCGCTTAAAGTGTCCAAACAATTTGGGCCCACGAAAGGCGCACACTTTAAAGAAGGCAAGAATACACCTTGAGGAGGGTTGCCAGATCCGGATGGAAAATATCTCAATTTCACAATTCAATAAAAACCAACCAAAATGTTTACCTTGACGGAAACCAGTGTAAAACTGTAACTGTGTTTCCCTAAAGACATTACAACTCCAACATTTGCCTAAACAAGTCAGTAATAGGCCAGGAAGTTTACAACGTTTACTGATATCGTATCACTGTTTTTGACCATTAAATTACAGCTTAATTTGTTTTTGAAATATTTTCAAATCCCTCCAAATGTTGACAAAACCAGCCCGTATTTTATCTACCAGTTTTGAGGCTATATTTTCCAGCCAAACGTTTTTTGAAGTAGCCTAATTTGGGACACACACAGTATATATGTTCAGTATCTGGCTACACAAGGCTCATTGTTGCTTAATGCCGCATTAGCGTTTAGTAATTTTAGCTTGTGGACCAGCCTGCATCATTATGGGTGTGTTTGATATAGTCATTTATGGTGCGCGCCAGGTGGTGCATTAAATTACCCATCAACCAACATCCGACCTGTGTATTTATTTTGTTACACGCCGCGATAATGCTCTTAACCTTTATATATACACAGTCTATGCTCTTAACCTTTATATATACAGTCTAAGACTGCACAAGCATTCAGTTGTAGAGAATGACAAACCTGTATGAGACAATCCATAAAAAAAGTCAGTGATTCTATTGTTGTTTGGCATCCACATTAACAACCTTGCTTCATTTAATGTTATGACTCACGATTCAATCATCTATAACCCTAGTCATTATATTCTTTATGAACCAACATCTTTACACGCATGCAGTTTGAAGGTGTTTTGTGCCCCATTATCTAACAAATCTTACCCTCAGTTGGGAACAATTGACACAAACACACATTTATTTGTTGTTGCATTTATTGTTTGGAGACTCGATTCTCAGTGTTGTTTGGGGACAACTCTTACAAGCCCACCTGCATTTCTGTCTTCTTCTGCACAGCAGCTATGTTTTGCATCTTTGTTTTCATGTTATGGTTCCTATAAATGGGCTAAATCAACTCCTATCTCCATCTAAACTCCCCAAGGTAATCATATCACGATGCTGTAACCTAACAGGCTCTCTTGCGTTTATGTATTATCATGTTGCTAAGATAAAAACAAGCCTGAGGTGAGGCAGGCACGCCGAACATGAATCCAGGACCGCAGTCAGCACAGGGCGGGCCCACGCACATCTCAATGTGTGGCTGATAGCTTCGGTGCAGAAATCTGGAGTCATGCTGGTGCTAAATATAGACAAAGGTTTTATGTAAGCTGATGTGAATCATTCTGTTCCACACATTTCAGCACATTTATTCAAACACACAGATGAAGTGACACGGCACAGGTGAAGGAAACACATGGATGTGTAAAACCAACATCCGCAGTGCTCATCACATGGAACGGCTTCATAAAAGTGACAACACAGCATATGCCTGCTGTGTGTGTGTGTGTGTGTGTGTGTGTGTGTGTGTGTGTGTGTGTGTGTGTGTGTGTGTGTGTGTGTGTGTGTGTGTTCCTCCAGGGCCTGTGATAAGCAAGGTGATTTGAATTTGAATGTGCTAATCAAAGCCTAAGGTGATATATTGGATGTGTGCGGAAGAGCTGGAGGGTTGTCCTTCACACAAGCATCACAGTGTCTAAACAAACAACACACACACACACACACACACACACACACACACACACACACACACACACACACACACACACACACACACACACACACACACACACACACACACACACACACAGGGCTCATGTAGCCTTTCTGAGAAACAATGGTACTCAGCTTTGTGTCTCTTCCCTTTGTAATGTATACCGGTCAATCTGGCTCACACACACATCACCCTATATACTATTTTCTTTTTACCATCTCTATGAGTATACTAAGTAGTGAGGGGTAGAGGTGAGTCTCGAGCCTTGCTCAAATTATCTAAGTGGATGCAGAACAAACACACTACAAGGCACAGCCCTGGATATTGATCTTGTCTGCCACAAAATAATGAAGAGGGGAAGTGTTTAAAATGACTTATTTCCAATTAAGAGTGCAGGAAGAGAGATGGGTTTGCAGCTGATGAGGACAGAGACAGAGAGGAGAGAGAGAGAGAGAGAGAGAGAGAAGAGGAGAGAGAGAGAGAGAGAGAGAGAGAGAGAGAGAGAGAGAGAGAGAGGAGAGAGAGAGAGAGAGAGAGAGAGAGAGAGAGAGAGGAAGACTGGGGAGGCGATTCAAAGGAAGAGAGAGAAAAGAATCAGAACGAGAAGATGTAGGAAAAGAAAATATGTGGTGAGTAAGGAAGAGAAATTGAGAGAAAGGGGAAAAGGGAAGAGCACCAATCAGACTGGAAAAAAAGACAGGGACTGAATTGTGATCATCATGGCAACCAAATCTGCCCATTCTCTTCCTCCAGAGAGAGCACCTTTGACACTGCCAGGTAGCTTCAGAGCACTGATTACCTCTCATGCACACACACACACACACACACACACACACACACACACACACACACACACACACACACACACACACACACACACACACACACACACACACACACACACACACACAAACACATGCATGTACCTGTATAGCTTGGATGTGTCAGACTGATCACATGCATCAAAGCCACATACACACTCATGTTGCAGAGCTGTTAATGAGTCCTGGTTGTCCTGCATGGTTCTCTCAGCTTTTGACTTCAAGGAATCACAGCATTGGAACCTGTTGTAACTCAAAATTCTCTTCCTTACCTCTTCTCCTCTATCCTTCTCTCCTTGAATCAGCCTCACGCACATTGCCTTCTGTTACATCAGATTACATTATTATAATACTCACGAGCCTCTAAAACACACATACAAATATGGTGTCTGGTACTGCAGAGATGCATTCCTGGTTTTGATTTGTATTCCTATCTCGGTGACATTTCATACATGTAGAACACATTATGCTGGTCATCAAGGGATCAATAGAACTGTCGGATTATGGATTTTTGTTTAAGATATCACTTCACATCATTCTTCTCGACCTTGAGTTGAAACATATTTGCACAATTGAAGGATATCTCTTGGTTGCCTTTAATATTGTACATCTATTCCATTTCAAGAGAGTCAAGAAGTAGATGGAAAAGGTTTAATCAGTAATTAATCAAAAGTTCAGACAATCTGTGCATAAACAAACTATTTCACAGGGGGGGAATTTCCGAGACCATTGACATAGGTTGAAACTTCAAACAATGTTGTAACCATTATGTGACCTGAACCATTTTCACCTAACATTCTCAAGTCAATTGCATTACTATAGCAATGGCGACATCTACTGGCTAACATGGCTAATTGTGTTGATTTGGTGTGAGGTACGTTAAGAACTATTTACAGCAGAGAAAGAGAACAAATAATTAGCCCTGCTGCATCATTAACTTTCCAGCCAAACTGTGATGAAATTGGGTTCACTGTTTGGGAATGTGTGACTTTTTAATTGGGAGCATATGCTCGTCAAATGAATGTCAAATGTCAAAGTCAGGAAAAGTATGAGCGTAGCCGTCTGACGAAGACTGCAGTGTAGATGTTGCAAGGAGGTGGGATGTTTTCTCAATCAATCCCGATATAAAGTGCTTGTGTAATACGTTTAAACAGTCACCATAGTCCATGTTTATGAAGGATATGCTTTATTCATGTTGTAAAGGCAAGCATTACACTTTGATATCAATCTGGAATGTCTGGGAGGGAAAACGAAAACATGCAGCATTTCAAGGCACCTTAGATAACAATCGGTTTAGATTTTTTGCAAAACATTTCAACTAAACATTGCAAACTGCAAAGCGAAAAAATGAAACGGGACAATTGTATGTTTGGTTTCTTTCCAGTCCGTAGCTCTGTCAAGTGTTCAGGAAGGTTATGCAGTTACGATGTTTACATCTGAACATTATGACATTGTATGAGTCCATCTTATGTATCCATATTCGTTTCTGTGTTTGCTTGCATACGCACATTTCAACAAATTCTTCCTACACACATACACTGTGTGAGAAACATGAAAGGCACTGCTGATACCTCATGGTATTCACAAACTTAAAAGCTGGGGCTAAATATGACATACTGCTGGACAAACACAATTGAAAGCAAAAGACTCCTGGCAGCATGGAGGTTTACTTGATCTCAAAGCTCGTGATGCGAACTTCCCCAATAAAGCTGATGAACGAGTATTTCTCTGCACCCATGCGGTTGGGGAAGTGGATCAAGGAGCCATCTGATAAACTCACCACGAACTCTGTCGGGGTGAATTCAATGAGGACCTATGGTATACAGACCAAGAGAAAAAAGAACAGAATATGCAGACAAAGATGTTACATACTGAGCTTACAGTGCATTATTGTACAATGTATTAAAGGTCACCTATTATGCAAAATCCACTTCTCCATGTCTCTTCTACATCAACATGTGTCCCCTCTGTGTAAAGAGATTCTGAAAGTTTCAGGATAAAAGATTCGCTCACTTTTTGTCCTGATCCATTTATATAAAAACCTGTCTGAAAATGAGCTGATCAGATTTTGGCCACTTTATGATGTCATAACGAGTTTCTGGCTTGTGTAACCATTAGCCAATAACCAACCAAGGTAACCCCCCCCCCCCCATCTTATCACCTGAATCTCCCCCTAGACCACCATTGTGTTCTTTTTAACCAAATATCTCTCAGAGGGGCGTGGGGAGGGGCTCCTTATTTTCATCTAAAGTAACAGACAGAGAATCAGCACTTTTGAAACAGGGCTGAAACTGAGGGGATTATGGGATGCTACAATGATCTGTTTGGTATTTCGAGCCAAACACTTCAGAGACATGATTTGTATATATCTGAGACCTATAATATATTGATGAAAAACAGTATAATAGGGGACCTTTAAATGGTGGACATTTCAAACATAATACCTCATCCTTCGTCCATGTCATTTTTGATTTAATTGAAATTAGCCAAAGCATGCTGTAACATAACAATCTAAACAACTGTAGTATGACAAATGTATATAAACTGTTCACAGATGCCTGCAAGTCCTTCACGCTGTGCTTAGATGACTACAGTTAACAGAGGTGCAGTGACACACATTTTCCAACAGAGGTCACTCTCACAGAAAGGACAGAAATAGGCATGGGACATACCAGACACACACACACAACCTCTCACCTTGAACTCCTCTCCCAGAGAGAAAGGAAAGCCTCCCTCTCGGTGCTCCTCACACCAGATGCCGTCCTGGTATGAGTTGCAGACCACCGCATTCTCGTCCCCGTGGGCGTTAAAACGAGCGTTGATATGCATCGTAATATCCTTCTCGTTGGGGCCGATATTCACTGCAAAACTGTGGCAAAAAGTAACAAGAACATGTATTACCTTTCAATATGGCTGCTTAGATTCAAAAAGCTACGAGGGCAGCAAGAGCACAAAATATTGAGACAAACTGAGCAGTTGCGTGGTTTCTCTTTTCACCCGCTAACTATCATGTTTATCACCTCCACATAACTGAGGGGAGATGATAAGTAGTCAGTGACTGTAACTGATCACGGATTACACCTCCATCTATGTGTTAGTGTGTAGAATGGCCTTTGTGTTGAATTCAGAAGTACAGAAGGTATAGAAGAAGAAGGAAACAGGAGATTCTCAGCCACCCTTTGTTAATTATGTGATAACAACTTACTTTGTAGCGTCAGGTTTGGGGACTCCAACAATGGTCAGGGTCTGCCCGACCTTGAAGGACATGTTCTTTATCATCATACCCTGTGGACCAGATGTTAATACAGTGCGTTATTGTGTGGAAATACTACTTGAGTTTTACTAGATCCATTTAGTATTGCAGCTGCAGGCAACAAGCAGGAATGGTGGCCTCAGCCAATTCTCCAATCCGCTATTCATCCGTAGAAATTAAACAACATGTGTTTTCAATTTTCTCCCACTGGCCGCCTGATCAGATATTCCAGCTCTCTCCTGTCCTATCTTATGCCACAGCCCCTTTTTCTCTATGCAGATTTTGGCAGAGGTTTACATTTTTAAGAAAGACCTTCAAAATGAGTAATTTTTTCCTAAGTGCAAGACTGGATGGGAAGTATACGTTGAAAGAAAAAGGCTGAGCACAGCAGAAATCCTCTGCTCGTTGCCTCTGTACATGTGGCGAGGGAATACTGAGCTGTGCCACGATTAGGAAATGATACTTGAGCAATCTATAATTGAGTTGTGAAACACAGATCCTGCAGTTCCACATTTTGTCATGTTGGCAAATGATGTATCTGGGGAACTGTTAGCTGTCACCAGGACAACATGTACAAATATAGAAGCCTACTGTAGGAGGGTTAACAGCTTTTCACAATATAGTGAAACATGTGGCTAAAGGCTATGGGGCACAGGAGAAATTGGATTCTTAAAGGACAGAAGCTGTGAAATGTCTTTGAATATGATGTGTTTTGCCATTTGCACCTACATTTGAGAAACAGATTCTTTAAATGCAGAAATTGTGCTTTCTTTTTCTAGCAAATTGCATGTTGTCACTGCCTTTGGGATACTGTTCTTGCAAACTTTACAGAGGAACACAAAATGTAATGACTTGTGTGAATTTGATGCACTGCAGCTGTTGGAAAAAATCCTTGCTAATCTTAAAAAACTGTGAGATACAGTCAACAGAAGTACACACAGAAGTACACACTCTCCCGTTTAAAATAACTAAAGAATGTTTACTTAGTTGATCAAGTAAAGTGTCAGGATGATTACGTGGGCAGGCATTCAAACTTTCACAGAAAGAAGTGAGCAATGGCATAGTGCCCTAAGGACTTTCGTGATATTGTTCACCTGGAAACTTCTTTAAATACTCAGGTATAGTGCATGGGTAGGACATTCTTTCCAGAGTCTGACCGTAAAGCAGGGGTGTCACACTCAATTTCATCACGGGCCACATCAGCATTATGGTTGCACTCAAAGGGCCGGTTGTAACTTTAAGACTATATGAAAATACATATATAAATATTGAATATATATAAAATAATGTATTATATTACATTATTGCCTCTGCATTGGATTATTATCGGATAGGGTAATAACTTCATAATTAACTACGTCTGAAAGCAGAGGTCTAGGGCAAATAATTGCAAGTCTCTTCACTGAGAATGTCACAATATGATTTTAAAAGAAAAGCCACATTCTGGAGAAACAAAAAAAAAGAAGTGACATTTTGAAAAAAAAGTAATTTTTGAGAGAAAAGGCTAATTCTAAGGAAAAAAAGGCATATTTTGACAAAAAAAAGACAAATTCTGAGAAAAAGTCAAATTTGAGATGCATTGTGGGACATGTCGTTTATGGGCAACGTGCTTCTGTAAAGTAGCATGTAACCGTATAATAAACATATTATATTCTTTGCAAGCTCTTGTGGGGCCACATAAAATGAAGTCGCGGGCCGAATTTGGCACCCCTGCCGTAAAGTATGTGAATAACACATGGCACTGGGGCTTGAGATGAGTGGGGTGGGGTGAGGTCGACCTGGCAGTCACTCTGCATCCCTCCCATACCTTACTGTCTAGGAATCTGCATTCTGTTTTGTGTAAGAGATCATTTCATTCATTCAACTCATCACTGAGAGCGTACAAAATCAGTGCTTGAAGTGACTAAAATCAAGTATGCACAGTCAAGTAAAACACATGTATCTACCAAAAATAAAGTGAGTTGTATATATTTTTACTCTAAATATATATCATTCTACTGGAATTTCTCCGTAAGTTCAATACAAATGAGACATCTTATAGTGCATGGGACACTCCCTGAATTGCCTGAAAAAAAGCCTTCACAATCTGCCACAGAGGATTCGATCACTCCAGGAGCTAGGCTTGAGAATTACAGTGTAGTTAGCATCTATTCTAGCCTCCACATGATCATTTAATTTGATCCTGTAATGTGATTTAAACCCACTGCTCCCACCTCACGGTGCCCTTTTAAACACATGCTTTCCCCTGTAGCCAACCAAAACGAGAGTGATACAGGGCCGTCATTGTAATCTACTTTATGAGTCAAAAGGGACCAGAATGCACTGCTGCTAGTGATCAGCTATGGATATCAAGACTGATTTAAATAAAAAGGACAAATGTTAACAGACCTTCCTGTTCCAGTGTAATCAAATGAGATTGCAGGGTTTCAAGCATTTGCACTTGCAGCAGTTTCAAGAACTTGTAAACATGACTAATGTGCACGTGTGGCCTGTGGTGAATATTTTGACCATAAAAGGTAAGGAGCCAGGAAAACTCAAAAGCAAATTACAGTTTTTGGTTTAGTTTCTGCTTTAAGTCGAGCATAGGAAGCTGGCTCAGTTTCATCGACACAGCAGAGTGAGCTGACACTTCACCATCTGTCAGTGCCACTTAAAATAAGACCCAATAATGCTGCTCCTTTTAAGCCACAAAATACAAAGTAAAAGCAATACAGGATAACATTTAAAATTACACTTACAGCCATCTTTGCAGAAGTAGTCAGTCAACTGGAGCTGAGAAGAAGTGAGAGTGCTGCAGGGCCTCACTGCACCCTCTGAGGAGAATATATACAGTGTGGGAGGGACCTCCAATCTGAGTGACAAACCAAGCAGCGAATACAATCAGCCCACCCAACCAATGACTTCACATTTTTGTTAAAGTCTGTAAATGACTAATTTTGTACTTAACAAATAATTGCAGATGTCAGTGAAGTGAGGAGGATTACTGATTTGTTGACATCAGACCGTTAGATTATGACCCGCTGGTGTGGAGTCTAACTGTGAGAGGGGACAGAGCCCCAGACAGAAATAGAATGCATTTGTTGCTAGGGAGACAACTAAATATTTGGCACGGCCAGGAGCCCTAATGTGCACTGACTGTATATAGCTGCCGGAAGGATCAAATGGCAAGCATGTGAGGCAGTCCTGCCTGCAGTTAACTTCAGTTAGGAGGGAAGAGGCCAAAGTGAAATGTTGAAACTGAGTCAAATTCTCCAAACGATCTGAATCTATGACTCACTGCCAGCATCAGGCATGACTTTCATCTGCTGACATACGACTGAAGCAGCTGCTGTGACTCACAGAGAATGAGCCAGACACTTACCCTACAGTTCAATACAATGTAATGCAATGCAATGAAAAGTAATGTAATATCAAAATCCTGAGGAGCAGCAGTCAAAAAGTATAGACTTTCTTTTCTGGAAATTGTTCTCGTGGTGACCTGTGTCTTGCATCATATTGCATCATATAGTTGTACTTATGTAATAGCCTTTACATTGTAATAGACTTTTGAATAGAAGAAATACAATATGTTTACTGAAGAAGCTTGACTTAAGCTAAGATTTAAAAAAACTTGGGTTACAGGGGTCATAGGGTTTGTTTGACATTCTGTACGAATTTGACCCTACAATTATCAATTTTTTCAAAACTACAGTATGGTAGCCCACCCAGTTATTGTGAGTGGACAGTTGCCACATCTGTGTGCAGGCTCTAATAATAATAATAATAATAATAATAATAATACATTAGATTTGTATAGTGCTTTTCCTAATGTTCAAAGATGCTTTACACAAAATCAGATGATGATGATTAGAGATTGAAAGCTAGAGTGAATAAGGGAGCTTTGAGAGCTATTTTGAAGGATGCAAGAGTGTTGGCCTTGAAGTAAGGTAATGAAGTGTTTATAATCATGTCCGCTGGTCAACACTCTGATGACATTTGTTTCTAACATGCCGTCTGTTTTAACTTATGTTCACTGACGACACATTCACAATTACACTCCAGCTTGGAATTACACATCCGTGGAATTTAGCTCAGCTCTGGCATTTTGCAATTCAAGGATTTGGCAGCCACAGCGCTGCCTAAATTGAACTCCTTCTCAGCAAACCTTGGCCTGATAAAAGCTTCATCAACTGTAGATGAATCTAGGGACATGATGTCTCTGGGAATATTAAATATGCGTAGCCACAAGTATGTGGTTCTTGGATCAAAAGTTCAATATGGCACAGAGATCTCATTTGCGTTCTTACCCCAAGACCAAGTCTTAAGACAGTCAGCAGATCTTATCACAACCCATCCTTTCACAAGAAGAACACGCACGCACGCACGCACGCACGCACGCACGCACGCACGCACGCACGCGCACACACACACACACACACACACACACACACACACACACACACACACACACACACACACACACACAGTTTAGTTTTAACCTGAGTATATTTAGAAATATTATTGTTCACTGCCCTCCAGTGGTCACAGAGGGCAACTGCAATACATTTGATGGTTGACTGATGCTGCAAATGTGTATTTTTACTTTTTAAGAAATCGAAAGTAAAAGAGCACTGACACTTCACATATCATATTCAGATGTTTCATCCAACATGCTAGTTACATTTTTACAATACGAACCTGAGTCTAATTGTTTGACCTGACATTATTTAACAAAATCACCAGAAGATCTGTCAGATTTGTTACAGTTGATTTTGTTAAATAAATGTAACTGTATGTTTGGGATGTGTTATTAATACTCACAAGCAAGTCCAATTGGTATTTGTAGAAAAGAAGAAAAGGCTGTTTATTGGATATTGTTTAGAAGACGCTTTTATCCAAAGCAACTTACATAAACTCAATACCGTAGACTTGAAGCCATATCCCCCACTGTTCCTGCAGTGTCATTCTCTTAACATTTAACGACTAGACAACTGTTTTCTCAATGATTATAAAACACTTCAGTGTAACATTAAAGTATCTGTTTCAAGGATTACAGTACTTCAGGATACCAATTGTTAAAGGGTACAAAGACAAGGTTAACGTCACCATTTTCATTTCCACAGATGTCACATGTAAACATAGAAAAGTTTATCAAAGTATATTGCACAGCTTATCAGAGTTGGACAAAAATCGATGAAATTGATATAGGAGCCAAAGGTTAATAGGAATACTTTTCTGATGTAACCCTGGGTAATCTGCTTTCTGAAAATGCAATACCAATGTAATGTGAAATTTGACCCACCAAGACACAAACCTGAATTGCTTTCCCAACCATGGTTTACATCCTAGTGCTGTTTACTTTCTTAATGATTAAGGTGCTCTTGCTGGTGTAAGAGGAATTCCTATCATTTCTTTAATATTTCTTTATTATACACTTTTTTTAGTTATCAAACTGTTGTCAACGTATTTTCTATTTCAGTCAAAGCAAACTCATAAGGCCAGGAGAGTTAATGTTTCACAGCTAAAAAAATATTTCAGGAACAGGGAAATGATATGTATTATTGATCTCATTATTACATCAGCATTAGGCTAGTAGTACATGATTGTTACACTCTGATTACACCATTTCAAACATAACCCGCCCTGCTTCAGAGGGACGGGTCCACTTTGTAATAATATGACTGCTATTGGCACACTGCTAACATATTCATATTTACTTTACTACTATTGGTGATAAGAAATAAAAAGGCCTGTACACACACCTCCCTCATGAATATTGATAAGGTGCTGGTGGATATTTTATTTTTAAATGGCTTGAATGCGGACTAAAAACATATAAATAAGCAGAGGGTGGCTAAAGTGAGGAGATACAGTTTGACTGACCTTATCTGTGTTGTGGCTGTAGCTTGTGGAGCTTGCGGGGTCTTGCATTGCTTCTATGCGTATTTGATGCCAGCAGTCATCACAACAATTGGAACAGGTTGACATTTATCTCTGCAACGCTGGCATACGATGGCATCAATAGCAGCGGCTCATGAGCCAGGTTTAACCCCATGCGCCATAGCGTTGGCTGATGCTTTGGTCCCTGCGAGCATATTTGCTCCGGACCGGGGAGGATGCGAGGACGACGCCGGGGATGAGTGCTTCGATGACGGGGACATGTTCAATGGCGAGCCCGAGGACCGTCCTGTTGACTTCACCAACAAGGTAGGCCCTGGCTGTCATAGGAGCGGTGCAAGGCTAACGTTAGCGGCTCCTGGTAAATGAATGAATGAAACAAATGATGTGTTTATTGCATGAACTACCATGTTATTACCAAACATCATGCTGCTCCAATCTGCAATTACTCAGTACCCTTAGTACCCTATAGTATAAACGACTGACTTTTTGGACTCAGGGTAATGTTATTGCTTTTGCTGATGGTAAATAAAGTAGCTAGTTGTGGCTAACGCTAGCCCCAGCTGATGCTTTGGCACTTAGCAACCTGACCTAACGCTAACATTACATTAATTACTAATCAGTCGAAACACATTTCATTGCACCATATGCCGCCAAAAACATGTCTGTAGACAACCATATATGTTGTTTCTGCTACTGTTTAAAGCAAGGCAGAGCAACGTGTAAGACTGTTGTCAAACAGACCATAACATTGGCTTGACGTGGTGTGTCAACCCAATTCAAACACATAAGATGATGAAATACAGAAGATAACAAGATAAAGGTCAGGCTTGCCTGCTGGACCTTTACCAGCAAGAACGCCTAAGAAAATAAATAGGGTTAGATTAAGTAGTAAGACCTGTCAAATGAGTTTCACATGGATGTAGACCTGTATGAGGGCAACAGTAATTATGGTTTGTGTCCTGAAGGGTCACATTTCACATTACAATGGTGTAACATGACCCTCAAGCAGATTGCTCAGGATTGCATCAGGTGCAGCTCCTTCTTCCTTTGGCTCCTGTCAATTTATTCTGCTTGGGTCTAGCTCTGAATAGTTTTCTAGTATACTTTTATTGACTTATTTTTATATTATTAATTTGACATCACACTTTTGGCACAATAATATAGAAACCTTGATCCATGCTCCATTAACTAGCTTTATATCAATAGCCTGTTTTTGCATATTCTTTAATATTAATAACCAGGAGTCTCAGGGACACTTATGTGTACTGTTTCTCTTAGTAGTAAACAAACAATGTACATTCGCATAACATTTATATTTTTCTCAATTGTGGCTGTTATCCAATGTTATGAGTGTTTATAAGCAATTAAACCACAGTTCTGCAATAGGAAGGCACATTTTTCACATACGGCAATAAAATAATTACAATCCTTTTGAATTGTAACATGGTATAAACAGCTCAACATGCCTTAACATTTGTGCTGAAGTAGCATGAGCAGTGCTTTTGTTGGATTTTACTTGTGTTACTATCCTAACTTACTTAGTTAGTCAATATTGCTGTCTGTGTCCACATGTAACCGAGTGTTTCATGGGAAAAAAGACAGCTGCATTTTGTGTGTAGTGCAACTCTTGATTAGGCCATTCCCCCTTGGTTTACGTTTTACTGAAAAGTACATAGTAATTATAAGAGTTGTCATAACTGAGACTTTTAATTCCTGTCACTGTCTCTCATGAAAACAATCTCACTTTAAGCAATCACCAAAAGTGAATGACTTTTTGCAACTCATTGGATAAAGGATCTGCTTTGATTATACATTTATTGTCGAACAACCATCGAGCAACAGCCACTTGTTCTCTGTTTCCTTTTCCCTTGAACGCACCAACCCTACAGCTGGCACTTGTTAGCCCAAATGGAGAGCAGTATGACTCGTTACTTCGCCAGCTACGGGACAGGATGGAAGAGGGATGTGGGGAGACCATCTATGTGGTCGGGATGGGCTCAGGTGAGAAAATACCTTTTAAGTTTCAGTTAATCCGAAACAGTTTATACAACCTGTACAAATCATAGGGTCCACTTGTTAAACTGTCTACTGTGTCTCTCTGTTGTAGATGGGGGTGACTGGGGTCTGGATGAGAAAGATATGGAGGCCTCAGTAGCCACAGTTCGCTCCATGTGTGAGCAGGTGGATGCTGATCTCATTACGCTCCGGGAGCGAAATGAGGCTGCCGGTTTGGTGCGCGATTATCTGATCCGCCGGCGTGTGGGTGAACTGGACTTCCTTGAGGTCAGGTGAGTGGTCAAAGATCAAAATAAAAAGGGGACATGATTACAATTATGTCCATTGACATAACACCTTTCTTTGTCACTACATTGGTTAAAATGTCTGTCCCTCTCTTTCTCAGGGTTGCAGTCGTGGGTAATGTGGATGCTGGTAAGAGTACTCTGCTGGGAGTGTTAACGCATGGCGAGCTGGACAATGGCAGGGGATTTGCCCGGCAAAAGCTCTTCAGACACAAACACGAGATGGAAAGCGGCAGGACGAGCAGCGTGGGCAACGATATCCTGGGCTTCGACCAGGAGGGACAGGTGAGAGGGGCTTCTGGAAGAATGGTTGTTTAAGCATCAGAAATATAGCTAATTTGATTGAGTTAAATTAAGTTTCAATAGCATTATCATTCTAAATGAAATAATACTTGTGTGCCCCTAGGTGGTGAACAAACCAGATAGTCATGGTGGGAGCCTGGACTGGACTAAAATCTGTGAGAAGTCCTCCAAAGTAATTACCTTTATAGACCTGGCCGGACATGAGAAATACCTCAAGACCACCGTGTTTGGGATGACCGGACACCTGCCTGACTTCTGCATGCTTATGGTGAGAAGGGGGATCAGGAAGGAGGACATATTATGATGTTATCATGCTGTTGAATATCATGAATGTGTGCCATATTTTTACAAAAACATGAAAGTATCTGCCTGCATGTTTTGTTTCTATCTTTACACAAGCAGTTTCAACATTTCAACTTTGGATGAAACCATTACAAGATTTATAATTTACCCAAATGTAAAATGTCTCAGTGTCTACATTGTACAACAAATACCCTTTTTGCTTATTTCTTTTATTAAAATATAGACAAAGATTTTTCTCTCTCCCTGCCTCGCCAGGTGGGCAGTAATGCAGGTATCGTAGGGATGACCAAAGAGCACCTGGGCCTGGCCTTAGCCCTGAATGTGCCTGTGTTCGTAGTGGTAACCAAAATAGACATGTGTCCGGCCAACATACTGCAAGGTCAGTCTCTCTTATAACTCTGAAATGTGTTTTTTTCTTACATCTGAAAACACAATGTAACAATAGGATGAGTTAAGTGAGTGTGTGTCGATTGGCGTAGCTTTTAATGAAAATGTTGTACTGTACCCGACTTTAAACACTTCAACTTGTTGTGATACTTTGCTCCTAACAGAGACACTGAAGCTGCTCCAGAGGCTACTGAAGTCGCCCGGCTGTAGGAAGATACCCGTCCTCGTACAGAACAAGGATGATGTAATAGTCACTGCTTCAAACTTCAGTTCAGAGAGGTACAAAGACTATCCTGGCCAGATTCAGAGTAAGAGTGAAACAGTTAACTTTTCTAACATGTTTGTGTTGTCCTCCCCAGGATGTGTCCAATCTTTCAGATCTCCAATGTTAGCGGGGAGAACATGGACCTGCTCAAGATGTTTCTCAACCTGCTCTCCTCCAGGACGTCCTACAGAGACGATCAGCCCGCTGAGTTTCAGATAGACGACACGTACTCTGTACCGGTAAGTTACCAAGTTACAAATCACTTAACCTAGTGAATAGCATATAGTGGAGGAGTATCACGCTACAGGTGCAAACCTCGCAATTGAGAACCTTTACCAAATTCTAATGTTAACACCGGTTTTTATATCACAGGGAGTGGGAACAGTAGTTTCTGGCACTACTTTACGTGGACTCATACGACTGAATGATACAATGCTACTAGGGCCGGACCCCTTAGGCAGCTTCATCCCCATTGCTGTGAAATCAATCCACCGCAAGAGAATGCCTGTGAAGGAGGTCAGAGGGGGCCAGACTGCCTCATTCGCTCTCAAAAAGGTAAGGGGGAAATCTGGGAGTGCATTTTTTTAAAGTCTGGTTTAATTAACTGGCTGTTCAAACTGTGGATTTTTTATATTTTGGGGGAAAGGTTTTATAAAACCTGAATGGTCAAATGTATACTCTTTTCCTTAATTTTTTCCATCTTTTCCAGCTCAAAAAACATGCAATCTTAAGAAATGTTTTATAGAAATCATTAAAACAGTCTTGAAAAATTGACATTCCTCTGATGTTTTTCCTCTGTCTGGTTCTTATGTAATCCTTACCCCTTTGTATAGATCAAGCGTTCGACCATCAGGAAGGGTATGGTGATGGTTTCCCCGAAGGTCTGCCCACAAGCCACTTGGGAGTTTGAGGCTGAGATCCTGGTACTGCATCATCCCACTACGATATCCCCTAGATACCAGGCCATGGGTGGGTAACAATGGTGTGGAAGAAGGGACAGGGAGGGAGTTGGAGGGAAAAATTACAATTCTGTGGGTTTCCAAAGCAGCTTTAAATTATTGACTGAACATTTAATTGCCTTCAAGATTAGTAGCCAACATTGAATATGTATTACTTGATTAAAAAGATGTCATCAAGAATAATATTTGATTATATAGGAGTACAGGGCCATTTCTCAACACCCTCTCAAAGAAACACTTAAGCAATAAGTTCCCATTAAGTGACTCTTTAATACAAAACAACATTTTAACGTTTCTTTTCCTTCTCCTTACCCTCCACTCAGTCCACTGTGGCAGCATAAGGCAGACTGCCACCATCTTGTCTATGAACAGAGACTGCTTACGGACAGGGGACAAGGCTTCGGTCCATTTCCGCTTCATAAAGACCCCCGAGTACCTGCACTGCGACCAGAGGCTGGTGTTCAGGGAGGGGCGCACCAAGGCTGTGGGAACCATCACTAAGGTAAAGCAGTGTGAGGGCACATAACTGAACATTCAAGGAATAATATGTGTATTTTTTCTCCTTTACAATGATGGAATGAACAACCTGATATCTTCTCTTGGTGGGGGCATCAGGCTCAAATATATCGACTTTTTTTCCTCAGAAATACTTTTATTAGATTTTTTAAAGACAACAACAAACATTACACTTTTAATATATCGACTTTTTTTTAAACAACTCACTAGTAGCTGATTTTCTATCTTCTTCGGACTCTTATATCGACTCTCACTCTTTTCAGCTGCTGCAATCTACCAATAATTTACCATCAAATTCCAAACCTCCCCAAATCAAGATGCAGTCCACAAAGAAAGCACCGCTGCGCAGAGAGGACGGCACCACGGCAACCGGGGACGACATTCCAACGATATCACAGTCAGCTGGCCCAAACGCAACACAATCGGTGAGACATGCCACTTTATAAAGTGCTATTTAGTGAGGTAGTGAATCTCTTAATGTAAACTTGCCCTAACACTGCAGCTCTGTTCTAACTGCATTGTGTCCTCCTTCCTTTTGGTTATTTTCTTGCTTTATCTTATCCACCACTCACGCTCACACTCATTCATTACTTCATCACTACTATTTTTAACCCACCCAACCCCACTTTGCTTGCGTGGCTGGCTTCCAAAGGGAGAGGGGGATGAAGACCCTCAGATAAAGGAGGGCAACAAAGAGAACAAGGTGAAATAGGTTGATTAAAACTAAAACAAGAACACTGGAGGTTGTGTTTTGACTAAAGCAAGATAGTTGAGTTCATAGCCGGGTGATCTTGTTACGTTGTGAGTAAATAACATATTCGGTCATGGAGGTGCCTTATCGAATGTTCTCCTTATCTCTCCCTTGCAGCCAAAGTCTGGAGGAGGTGGCAGGAGAAGGGGCGGCCAGAGGCACAAAGGAAAAGGCCAGAACAGCAGCAACTCCACAGCAGCCCCCTCCTCGTCAGGAACAGGAGGCTCCTGAATTGCCCCCCCCAAACCCCTGTAAACCTCCCTCTATAATATCACTCCACCACCTAGTGTCTTCATTCCACAAACCATGACGTTTGGAGCGAGACACTCCTCAGTCTCATCACTCCTTGCCTCTTGACACCAGGTCATAGTTTATAAAGGGTACACAGTGGGGTGTGTCCCTAACTGCATTTTATCATCAGCTGCCTTTGCTTTTCTTTAACGAGTTTGGGTGATTGATAGCAGTGTGGTTTTTGAGGTAAGCCTCACTCAGGATGTTTTATTTTATTTAACCCATAATTTATGCCTCTATGAAATTGACAATTTATTTTTCTGGCTCGATGTCAATGGCAAGGAAAGGAGGCCAAACCCCTGAACAGTTCCAGCATCGGTATGAGCAGCTATACGTGAAACTCTTCCGTGCATTCCTTGTGTATTTGCAATGAAAAACAATTAATGTACTATTTATACTGCATATTATGTAAATGAGCTTTTAGTTGTGCTCCAATTGGAAAGATTGTACAAAATGTATGCAAATCAGAAATGAATGTAGCAGAGGGCACATAGGGTTTTATCTCCAGATATATTGAAAATATAAGCTGTTAGCGTTTTATAATTGTCAGGTATTTATTTGGCATACATGCAGAAAGCTCGCTCTGATGGTCTTCATTCTGCTCTCACTTGCACTCCTCAGATTCAGCAGAATCCATCATACTTCCACTGTCAGTCAGCCATGTTAGAAAGGTTATACAAATAGTGTTAGTACAAACAAATACAGCACATCGTCCGGTCACTCCTCATGATTATAAGACATGCAGTACTCGCAGTGCTACTCCAGTACCCCATGCGTTATGGCCTGTCGCTGTTTACATGTTGTGACATTTGAAATACACTCTAAAAAAACTGACCATCAATAAACAGGCTTTACTGAACCTTCAACAGTGTGGCTTTTTCTATGTCCATTTTCAGCAAAATATATATTATACAATTGTAATACTATGGATTTGATTTGTTAAAGTGAAAAAATAAGGATGGATTGGTCTTAGTCTTCTTCAATATTAAGGAGAGCTGTGCAGTCCTCAGTTCCATATTTTACAGATCCAGACAATATTATTACATTTGTAATTGTTGACAATATGTTTTACACAAGCTACAATGACTGATCATAAAAACAAGCTCATTCAATGTTCTGCACATGGGGAAGAGACAGTTCATGTAAATCCAACATCCTTTGTATGATGCAAATGAAAATGTTTTGCAACTTGAATTAGTACATCATACTTCTTCTCCAGTCCCCTCTTACAGTGGAACATCATGAACGCTCAACAGTTTGAATAAACACATTCCCAAAAATGTCCCTGTTTCCTGATGTATGTGCAGTTTTAAGTCAGAACTAAAGGTAATCGTAAAGTCCCATGTTAAATCGCTTTAACTCGCAAGGGCACATTTAGTCACAAGCAAAATATATATTCACGTATATACAAAAACATAACAAATTACTGTATAGGCTATTTAACATTTATTTATAGATTGTAACACAAAAAAGTATTTATCTGCGTCATTTACATGTTGTCATACGAGTGCAGACTTCACTACCACTGATAAGGTAGCACACATAGCCATAATCTTGTATAACTATTTGAAAAGGCTTTACTTGGCATGTGCAACATTTAGTAGTTAATGAAATATTTTGTAGAGTTCATGATAATTGAGGTAACTAACATCCCTCTCAAAAATAATTTGTAACTTTACAGCTCCATATTTAGGAATGTTCTGTTTTGGTCTTAATATCTGGGTATTTAAAAGGTTAATGTGGCATTTAATACCGTGTTAAAGGTCCAGGGTTTCTCGTGGTGATGACCCGCTGCTGTTTCAAACTAATGAAAGAGAGTGACCGCTCACTCCTGCACTCAGCTATGAAAGCTGAGTGTCAAGCAGGGAGTTTTATACGTACTGGACACACGAGAGCTCCAGTTTCATGGGTACAGACTAATCTGTACTGCAGTGTTTTACTAGTATATATCGTTTTTCACCATGTAGTGCAATCTCCTACAGAAGTAAAATAAAGTATGCACTTTAATGCACACATGCTTCAGAACTGGCTGAACAGTGACGTGACAGATGAAGCAGTCACTTCCTGTAGCAGACAACAGTGTCTTCATTATAATTGACAGTCTGTAAGTGACAGATAAGGAGACATCACATAAACACAGACAGGAGGACGCAGTAGGATTCAGGCGAGTGTTGCTGTGTGTGTCTAGCCATCGATGTCCCAGCTGAAGAGATGATGTTTCACCAACATGTCCTGCACTCCCTCCTTCAGGGGTCTCTGCTCCTTCTCCTGGGAAAGACATAAAAGTAATACATTTAGATTTTTTTAAGAATATTCAAAGATTTGAATCGGAATTTGAAATAAATATTTAAAATATAAAGAATCAATAAAGTACCTTACGACCACAACAAAGAAATAAAATAAAGTGTTGGGCTCACCTCTTTCTTTTCAGGTAGCTCACAATCTTGGGAGAGGCTGAAGGCAAACTTTGAAAGTACTCTGAGGAGAAAACAGTAGACTGCTTATTGTTTGGTTTTTTTGGACAAATAATGTGTCCATAGTTTTTACACAATTTCATTTTTTGTTGTTTAAAGTCCTTTTGGGGTATAAACTAATATGTTTAAACTGCTGGATTATGTGCGGTAAATGTGGAAGATACTGTAGTGGAGTATTAAAGGTGGGGTAGGTAAGTTTGTGAAACCGGCTCGAGATACACTTTTTGTTATATTCCATGGAATGCTCTTAACATCCCGATAGCAATGAATATCTTAAGTGCTTTGACAAAAAATCCATAAAAAAAAATGTCATCTGTGGAAGCCGTAGTACTGTAAAAAGCACGACCAATCATTTTAGCCAGCCCGGCTAAAATAACTGGATGGCCTACCTGCCTGTCAGCCTTCCATCTGGGCACAAACTTATCTCGTGCCCTCATTGGTCATGTGTGCGCATTCGTGTGTGTTGGAGGAGGGGCTCTATAAGGAAGTGGCAGATTTTCTCCGGTTGTGTATTTTCAAATTCTAGCGATCTCGAGCCGGTTTCTCAAACTTACCTACCCCACCTTTAAGTACTTGTAATATTGCAAGCAAGCTTTGGATATGTAGTAATACGTTTGCCAGTGGTTTATCCTATTTAGCCATTCCTGCTTTTTTGCTTTTTTTCAACTTTGACTTGAAATATGCTCTAATCTGAGATCAAAACAGGTGTTTCTTACCTGAGCTCACACTTGATCTGTACCCATCCAGGACTGCGGAGGAAGGACCATGGATGATACCATTTCTCTACAGCGGCCATGCTGGAGCACAGCACCTCCAGCCACAGGTGGAGCACCTGCTCACTGATGGGGAAGATAACCGTTAAGAACCAAACAGCCCCAATGTGTGTGTGTGTGTGTGTTAACAGCATATTTTGAAGGCATGCATATGTGTGTGTATGTGTGTGTGTTTGCGGTTCTCCCGAGAACTCACTTTAAGCCGACGCAGACCAGAGACCTAAACTTGACATCCATCTGAGCGTGTGCGCTGTCGTGGCTCATGTTGACCGACTGCACCGCCTGGGAGGAGCAGACAGAGGGCGCTCAATCACTTTCTACTAACATTCATTCCTACAGGCAAGCTGCACATTAAGCTGAAGAAAACCCAATTACAGATTTGACACATTGAGTTAAGGACACTCACCCTGTACAGCAGCTCCTCTGGTGTGAGTACTTTCCCATCTTCGTCTAACCTGGTAAATACGGCAGAGAACAAGTCGTTATCTTATTATGCTGCAGGCATACACACTGAAAGCCGATGCCCTTGCCAGAGCACACTTTAGTTCTAACTGAAGGTAAAGGGTTAGATCCCAAGTTTGTTTGGTTTTAAACCGGTTGTGTTTCTATCCAAGCTTTTTGAGCGAGAGATTGTATTTCCAAGGTAACAGGGGTTATGTAATTGATCAAATTGTCATTTCCTGGGTGAGGCATTCCTCTTGAATGTTTATTTAAAAATAAGGGTTTTACCTGTAGGTTTTACACAGCACCAGTCTGGAGTAGACAGAGTTAAAGTCTTTCTCTACCTCTCTACTGGCCGCCTGAGAGAAAAGAGGAAGGGATTAGTCCCATGATGAGTTTGATGCACCTGCAATATTAAAAAGAAAATATTAATCTCCTACCTCTTCAACAAATAACCAAGGATGACATGGCCCTCCCAGTAGAGACGTCTTCTTGAGTCCGTGCTGAAAGATGGCCTTCAGGGCCGGACACAGTGTCCCCCGGGCCAGGTCCGTCACTGCCTCCGTCACAGAGTCATCGCCTGCTAAAGAGTACTGGGGACAGACACAAAGAGCGTCTCCGATAATAATATTTAGGACACTGAAGGTGAGCAGAAGGAAGGAGTTAACATTAAAATACTCGCCTAAAAGTAAGCATAAAAACATCCTTTCTCATTAAGCTGATAATGAACTGCTTCCATACCTCTTTGCTTCTTTCATCTAGGATCTCCACAAACTTCGCTGGAAACCAACCTGTTACATAACGCAATAGAAAATGTCAATAAGCTGTAACAGTATATAGAAACAAAACGATTCAACAGGGTGCTGATGCTTAAGAAAAAACCCCACACACCTCTTAGGCCATTTAGCTCTCCAACCCAACAGTGTTCATCTTTCTGTGAAATGATCTGAAGGGGAAAGATGGAAAATACAGCTGTATCAGATTCAGAGCGAAAGGTTAGAAACCACAGAAAGCTTTTTTTTTTGGTTTCTGTGAGTCATCGAGCAGGGCATGACTCACAGTGATGATGTCATTCTTCCTGAAACCCAGCTCGTCGTCGTCGTGTCTCTCAAAGTCCAGCAGAGCCTTAGCTCGTCTCCGTCTGGTGCGAGAAACTACAAGAAAGTTCTCATGGTCTCGCTGATGGCTCTCCATGGAGTAGTCAGGAGTCAGCTCCTAGAGAGATGGGAGAAGTTTGGTTATAGAAATGTGATGGATAGAAATAAATAGCATTTAGTCTAACATGCCAGGAAATAACGGGAGGCCCCCCTTCAATTCTCCTGTTATTTTGCTTGATACATTTTCCATGAGAAACCATTAAACATACACACTGTCCCTGTGCTGCAGTGTGAGAACTCACAGCGCTGGAGTGCCGAGGGTCCAGACAGTGAAAGTGCTCTGCAGTGCGGGTGATGGCCTCTCGTAAGGCTGCCACCAGCTCTGTCTGCTTGATGTTCTTGGACTTCAGGGCCTCTGCTTCATCCTCCCCGAACAGCAGGGAGCTCAGAGTGGACTTCCTGCGCAGAGACTGTCTCCTCACCGCCTGAACACATAAACACAGGATTGTTAGAAAAAAATGTTTTAAAGTCAAGATTAAGGACACATAGACTTAATTTGCTCAGATCATGCGACTCCAGTTTGTACAGCTAGACACAAACTTGACGTTGCTTGTTTATTCTATAATAGTTATTCATATGACATACAGACTGAATCTGACCTTGTTGAGATTGGTGGTGTATGTTGTGTTGTTTCCATTGCTGAGCTGCGCCTGTTCGTTGAGGATGTAGGCTTGGTGCTTGTGCCGGTGAGCTTCCAGTGTTTCCTGGGTTAGCGACCCTGCTAGCCTCATAGCCTCCCCGAGAACTGCGGGCCCATCTCGCAGCTGGCTCGGCAGGTCCGACAGAGTGTTAAAGATGGACGCAGAGTTCTCTGATGATACAAGCTCCTCCTCCTGAGAATGAAGAGTACAATAAACAATATCAATATTCAACAAAGACTGTCATTAGGAGGAAAAAACACAGAATAGTTGGTGTTAGATGTTGTTTTCTGGCATTATAAGTGTGTCTGTTGGCAGACTTGGCTGTAAGATGACTTTTGGATAATTAAAAAACATTATCATCATCTTCTATTTAAGAAAAT